TGTCAAAGGCCTTACAGAAGTCCAGATAGACAGCATCTGGCTTCACCTGACTGCCATGACTTTTCCAGTATCATGGAGAGTGGCTGGGCAACTACATCAGCCAATTCCCTCGAGACTCTGGGATGCATTTCATCAGGTCCCATAGACTTGTGCATGTTCAAGTTCCTCAGGTGGTCTCAAACCTGATCTTCTCTTACAGTGGGAGGGACTTTGCTCCTCTAGTCCCTATCTTGCAATTCATCCACTTGAGATGTGTGGGAAGAGACTGCCAGTGAAGACTGAGGCAAAGAAGTTATTGAGTACCTCGACCTTCTCCTCATCCATTATTACCAGTGGAGTCAGAACCTCTCTCATTCAGCAAGCAAGGCCTCTAGCCTTTGCTGGTTGATAAATGCCTATGAGAGATGTCAATACCTACTTGAAACAAAACAAACATAGAGATATGAATAAATTGAAAGCCAGTGTGCTTTTGTATTCTTTGATTTTATTGTGTCTCCATCTATTTCAGTAGATACAGCTATTGCAATGTTTGATTAATTTTTACAAATTCTGACTGGAAATTCCACGCCCTGTATCTGAAGATTAACTTAACTTTTTCTTAGATTTCTACTAATGCTTTGACTGCACTACTTTGGCATTTACATTTGACATGACATTTACGGAGATCTAGAATGTGTCTCCCATCGGGAGCTGGGCTTGTTGAAGTTTAGGGAGAGCAGAAAAGGAGAGGTGAAAGGTCATTCCTGGTAGTGACAGAGAAGGAGTTACTGGCTTTTGTGGAGGATGTTGCTATACATATGTGGAAACACATACAGAACGGCTTTCCCCACCTCCCCTCAATTCTCAGCCATGAACTGATACCTTATTTCAAGCTGCAAGGATATCTATGGAATAATACCTGAAGAAAAAAATGGAACTGGCTTATTAGGCAAATGTTCTGAAGTTTTACAAAATAGTTGGAGAAGCACAAGATTATCAACTTTTTGTACAAAAGTTCCTGTACTGCTGATTTATTGCTGATGATTTATTTTTCTGTTTTAATTAAATGTTTAGACATGTACAGATTTTTCATTACACAGCTATTTAAATCTAAGTCTTGGGGGGTTTTTTAGATATTTGGGTTTTGTTGTGGTTTTGGGGTTTTGTTGTTGTTTTGGTGGTTTTTTTGGTAAATATCTCTGGTTGTTTCTAGGAATTCCAGCATTTGTTTCTTGCCTGATGCTTAACTTTGATCAACATGTTCCCCTTTGAACGGCAAAGTGTCTTGGCTAATCTGCAGGTTCAGAAATTAATCTGAAAGTTGACTTGCAGAGCAACAGCGGCTGAAACAATACCCCCGGTATTAGTAAATCATTCCCTTGGTTATATAAGATAGTGAAAATAATGGAGAGTCTATATAGTGAAACTAATTGTTTCTTCAGTATGGTCTTCATAATTCATAGAAATTTCTTCAGGTCTCCCATGCTGTTGTTGTCTTCTCCAGTATCCATAATTTTTTGCGATTTTCATAATATGCATTTTAAAAGAGGCACCCAGAAAGGCATAAAGAAGAGGGTTCAGACAGGTGTGAAACAAAGCTATGCTCTTGGTGACCTGGAGTGCAACGTCTATGGTTTTACTTGCATCGCAGTCAGTAATCAACATGTAGATGATATCTATGGCTCGCCAGAACTTAACGATGTTGTAAGGTAGCTGGGTAATAATGAAAGTAGCCATTACTGCCAGCAGAACCAAGAAAGATCTAGATTTCTTAGCATTTGCAGATCTAAAGATTGCTCGAGCAGTAGCTGAATAGCAGATCAGCATTACTAGGAAAGGAAGCAGAAATTCCAGGATAATTTCCAGGATTTGAATGGTTGCTTTTAAGAGTGTTTCCATGTTCATTGGAAATACAGGAAGGCATTCATTCCTGTCATTGTGTTTCTTGACTTGATTAAATATCAGTTCAGGGATGCTGAGGAAGATGGCAGACAGCCAGACACAGATGCAGGTAACGCTGCAGTGTTTACCAATTCTTCTATGGCCTCGGGATTGAGAAGTGGCCCTGTATCTATCCACACTGATACAGGCCAGGAACAGCATGCTAGAGCTGAAATTCATGGTGTACAGAGAAGAAGTGAGCTTGCACATTGAGTTTCCAAGTTCCCATCCCTGTACTGCATTTGCGGCCCAAAAAGGGAGTGTAAAGAGCAAAAGCAAATCAGCAATGGCTAGATGCATGATGTACACATCTGTCTTAGTCTTCGGTTTCTTGTAATAGCCATAAATTGTGACCACTAATGAATTTCCAGCGACTCCAACAGTGAAAGCCAGTGCATAGAACACAGGGAGGAATAATTTACTGAAATTTCTCACATCACTTTTTTCACAGAGAAACTCATATGTATTGTAATCTATAACAGAGTTGAGGTCATCCTCCTCGTCCTCAATCCAATAATCAGTTGAGTTATTCATATCCCAGCCTGTGGCAAAGCTACAAGACACAAACAAAGGAGGGATAAGGGAATACCAAAGAAATAATACTGGTTTTAAGTTTTAAAATTTCTGTTGAAACCTAAAACCCAGGCTCAGGGTTGCTTTTACATCTCAAGATTAAAGAAGTTGGATATTGAGAATATATTTGTAAATAATCAAAGTAGAGCTAGACAGTGATGGAGGCAGACCAGTCCATCTCAAATTCTCACAGGAAATGGGGTAACTGACTACATCCGTGTGCGCAATACAAAGTAAAATGGATTCAACTGAAATGCTTTCATTAACCTTCTCATTTGAGATTGCGAAATGCTTGGAGTGCGGCTCACAGGTTTCCACATTTGAGCTGAGGAGCCATCATTGCCTAAACTGCTCTGACTCAGTCATGTTTGACAATATTCCATTACAAAATAAATTTGTCTGTACCTTCATAGGGTTGAATTTACACCTTCCCCTCTACAGCCTCTGCAAAGCAAAGGAGTACAGTTCAAGGCTGTAAATGCTGTTATGATAGAGTGGATAAGGAATACTAACAGCCTAAAGCTGAGAGGCAAGCAGTAGTATTCTGTACTTACTGTCATAAATTCTGGCAAATTTGGGATATGAATATATTACAGGCAGAATGCACTTGTTTTTTTCTCAGGGGCACATGTACATGCCCATTACTTAAAGCACAGCAGTGGAGTTCGTTGCTGAACAGCGGTGGAACAGGCTTGGCTTAGTCTCCATCCCACACAGCGAGCCATGCCCATGTGGAATTTCTTAAAGAATCAAATTGCTGCGGGTATGCTGTATCTTACAGCTGGAGACTTCTCAGGATGTTATGACAGAAAGGAATCTTATCACATAAAAAACTGCCCGCAAGTACCCAAATAGCTCAGAAGCTCTGCTGGTTTTTTCAAGTACTATCTCATGACAGATTTACTCAGTAAACAGTAAGGCTGTTTCTCACTGCCAGCTTAGGGTTGAAGTTTGAGTGTTCATATCTTCATGACCTTAAGCAAGTCATGTCCTACAGTATTTTCTTCTTTTCCTGTAACTGTGTTCATTGACTAATTTGCTGAAATTCTTTCTATTGTGACTACAGTCCTGCAGTGCCCTGTTTTCTTGAAATAAAGGGGATTAAGATTTCTTAACAGCAATAGCAAAAAGTAACAGAGAATGAAAAACGCATATCCCTTTCTCATCTTCCACAGTGTTTCAGAATTTGAGGCCAAGGTTAGTGAAAGCAGATTCTTATCTGATATTCTGCCCCAGAGCTACAATTTGGCTTTTTCAAGCTTGAAAAAACTCCAAATACCATTTCTGGTTTTTAGAGAAGGGTTTAAATAAAGGGCTGCCAAACCTTTATTATAAACAATATTTCCTAAAAAATTTTTAATGTATTCTGTCTACCAGGAAAGATAAGTTACTGATTGATCTCATATTCAGGGATGCAGACCAATTAAACAGAAAGATATTAATAATTTCTACTTTTGCCTTTTTTTTTTTTTTTTTTTTTTAGCGAATCTAAATATTTTTTTGAAAGTGTGTAAGAAATTAACTATTTGGTTTGGCTTCATCCTTAATGACTTTGGATTATTTTGTTAACATTTCAAAACACTCCCCATTAAACTTTAAACAATGATTACTCTTATTTTACATCTTGTTGCCTGAGTTGTGCAGAATGGAACAGTAATTCTATTTATTAGTTTGGCAAGGGATGTCTATTCTATGCCTAACAAGCTGTGTTAGGAGGATTTTTCAGCAGGGGTAATCTTTTGCAGCTTTATAGTACTTTGAGGAGAGATTCAGACTTCAGCAGCAAATTTTTTTTTTTCTTTTTTTTTTAGTAGAAGAGAAACTGTTGCAGGGAGAGTTTAATCCACTTAGCCAAGATTAGAAGAAAATTAAAAATTAAACTGGAAAGATTTGGTTGTGGTCTAAAACACTTATTACAGAACCCGTCTGGGAATGCTTAATCAAGTTGGGTCACTGGCAAATTTGCTTGAAAGCGAAGTTTGCACTGAAATGTTTATTGGTTTAAGAAGTCTGCATGTAACAAAGTGGTTTCGCTGTGACAAGGAACGTGCTCTGAATATGCTTTTGGCTGACCTTGAGTTCTTGATGGAAACAAAGTTATCTAAAATGCAACAGTTGATATTTCTCCCTTAAAAACACAGTTATGTTTTGGCTAACATACCTATTCATATTTGTCACTCCTGTTAATGTTCTTTCTCAGGCACATGTGTACATGCCCATTAGGTAAAGCAGAGCAGTCCTATGGCAGTGAGGTGCTGAACAGCAGTGGAACAGGCTTAGTTTAGTCTCTATCCCACACATTGAGCTGCCTTATGCCCATGTGGAATTTCTTACAGAATTGAATTGCTGTGGGTACACTGCATCTTACAGCTGGAGACTTTTCAGGATGTTATGCATGGAAAGGAATCTTATCACATACAAAACTGCCCACAAGTACCCAAACAGTTCAGAACATCAGTTGTTTTTTCAAGTACTGTTTTCTTGGAGGTATATTAATAGAAATATTAATAGAAATATTAAAAGATAGCTTTGTATGTTTTCTTGCAGAATTATTCCAGCCTTCTATTTAGATACAAATTCAGCGTTTCTATGTGTTTAAACTTGACAGGCGATTATATGAATACGTGTTGAATGAAGTTAATATCCCCAGTTTAAACAGACAGACTTTTTCTTTAATAAATTAAGCAGTATTCTGTTCTACTGAACAAATCTAACTTTAAGACTGGAAATGAGCATCTGCTGTAGTAAAATGATATCTCTCTGTAAAGCCAACTTAACTGAGAGTAAATCCTAGCTCTTCTCTGTGTAAATGATATATCACACTTAATATACAGAGCAGTAAATATTAAAAAAAACTAACCTTTTGTCAGCAGACTTAGTAGCAGGTACTGCAGTTGAGATGAGCTTCAGTGAAATGATCTGAATTGGTCTGGCCCATTGCATTTTGTCTCCAAGCACCACACCCTCATCTGGAAGTCAGTTGCACTTTCATTTTGACTTGCAAGTTCAAAAAAAACAAAAAACCAAAAAAAAATCCTGCATTCCTTGAAAATCTTCTCATGTTGAACACGTACGTTTCCTACATCCCTCCTTGTTCCAACCAGAATGTGAGTGTTCTTTGGGAGGTCAACGCTGTCTTACCATTTCACTGTGTTGTTGGTTGTTTTATTCCTGAAACTCCAGATGGGGTTTTTTATGTAATTATAAGGCTTTTATGAAAGCACACATTTAAAATTTGAAAAGGAGAGAAAGAGAGGGACGTCTGTCTGGGACAGAGTAACCTGTAGGGCATCACTATACTCTCCTCAGGACACTACTGTGCTTTTGATGGCTGCCTATATAAAGTGTTAAGGGATCCTTATATCCCCTTTTTAAGTAACTTTTTAGGGGCTACAATATGAAGATGAGTTTGCTATTTGTAAAATGGGGGAAGTTGCTCTTCCAGTATGTGATATTGAACAAAACCAGGAAGATGATAGGGAAAAGATGTGAAAGCAAGTTGTAAACTGTCAACCAGAGTATAAGCAGATAGTCCTGCACCCTGGGGGAGATTTCTCAGGGATTTGAATGTTACCAGTCAGACTTATAATCAAGTTACTGTTTGATAGTATTTCTGCAGAAGCTGCAAGCCAGACAGATACTGTAGAAAATAGAAAGATGCTGTTCCATCCATGAGGTTTCTTCCACCTGCAGTGTGCTGCCTGCATTATAAAGACTTAATACTTTTACAGGAAAGGGCAGATGCAGAAGTTCTGCAGTTTACATACAGACATTAATATTTCTGTACTGAGGCATGGACTTAGAATTCCTAAAATAACTGGATCTTGCTTAAA